GATGTTGAACAATGCTGGTACTGATTATTCTGTGAGTTCAAATATTCGATTTCTATGCACTATCAATTTGCGTTTTAATTCTAGGCATGTCTTTATTTATTTATATCAAAGGAAAAACAATGAATGAAGTTTATATCATTATTTATTGATTTCTTTGTATTGATAATCAAATCAAATGAAACTGGTGTCGCATTAGTCGGTAAAGCATTTCGATTATTTCCATGATCGAAAGAAAACTTATACCAATCCATAGACCAGTTTGACCACCAATATTTGAGAGAACATCAACTAAACCTAATACAGCTGTTTCAGAATTTGTTTCGACAATATTTGTTTCACGTACAATGCTCACAGCAAGATAATCTGCATGAATATGTTCACGCCATGTGATTGACCAGTTTGCAGGTAATGAAACCGACGAATTTTCTACAAAAGCCTTAATGTCATTCATTTCCCATTCGAGAGGCGCTCGTGACGAAGATGCTTGAACAATGAAACTTGTTATCGTACATGCTTGTGAACAATCTGAACAATACTTATCCATTAGTGATGATGAGTTCGAAAGTCTAGTCACCGCTATTGAATAACATAGATCGGTTACATTGCAAAGAGGTGCTACGATAATTTCATTATCGCCTGGTTTAACAATCGAGCGAGCATTCCATAAATTTGGGTTCACACAACCACATTGTTCATAACTAAAATAGATCAAATTTTTTTTTGTCTCTAAAAGTACAATTCAAATTATTCGCTCTAAGCATACTTACGTGTACAATTGTCCACACAGTTGATAGCAGATTGTTTCCGAATAGCCATAATCAGCGCCATTATATTTTTCGAGCATAGCTTTCATTGAAGGAGAAATTTCGCTTGTACAACTGGTATATGGTGACGATAAAAAGTATGCTGCCTTCTTTCTATAGCCCAATTTATGCTTTCGTCCCGGTGCCAATTCTAGACCGGCTGCTTCAATCAGTGGTAATTGTGTATTATCATGGACGAGAGCTATGATTCCAACGGCTACATAAAGGTTATGAAAAACATGTTGTCAAATGAGTCTTTTCTTTTTCTAGCTTACAATTTGTCCCATATGGAATATATTGATGACTGTGTACATAGAGACTTAAGTAGAGGTTACCATCACCTCCATTTTGATTTGTATATCTTCTACTATCACTATTGCTATTTTTAAGTTTTGCATTGAACGTATAGCACAAACCATAGGATGATGATAGAAATGGAATAAAATCCTGTGCTGAACATTGTTGAAAATTGTATGTGCATGCGCGAAGCATCGAAGATAGCGAATAGAAAAATGGTCCAATTGATTCATTCCTATTGCTTTTATAAATTAGAAAATTCCATAGATCACTTATTTGAAATGTATCAACTGTTGTTGTACCATTCATATTTATTGCATTGATATAGCTTAGAAACGGTCCCATAACTTGATCATAACGGAGTGGTGATCCATTACAAAAGCTAAATGCCGGAAAATATTGTAGCCATTCTCTTGTATAAGTTACATCCATGTTTGTTGGGTAGTCAAAATATGCCATAATTGCTTTAACAATAAAATAGATCATAATTACAGCAAAGCCAATGAACGACACCGACCAAAATATACGATTATGTATGCTTTCACTGCGAGCAATACCTGGCAGAGCATGAGTGGATGTATTTAAACAGAACTCACGAATAATTGAACGACGACGAGGTCGTTTTTTTCCTTCGATCGTTGGTATTTTATCAATTGGCGAGACTATGTTTGTATGAGGAATTCTATTTAGCATCATAGTACGTTATCTTTTCAAAATGAATAGTGAAGGTGATTGTTCCTTATTATAAGTTAACAATGGATTCTCAAAAAGACATTGTTTTTCAATAGGAGTCCGAGGAAATTGATTTTTATCGGTAAGATTGCTTGCTTTCTTCCGACAGATAATTGACAATGGAATTAAAAGTTTACTCTTTCACAAGTTTCATATAATGTGTTTGTCATTATCTTGTTCTCGAAGCACTGTTAATATTTGTCTGATTAATTATTAGAAGGTACGCTAATGTACTGCTAAGAAACTCAATTTCTTTCTATATAGAAATAGTCAATAGAAATCGACATCGATTGTCTAACGATTGACAGAAAAGTTTTTCTCTTCAAAAATATCCTTTCATTTTACGCGTTCTCAAAGATGTTTTCACAGAAACAATCTTATACAAATATCGTCCTATTTTGCTTTGCCGAAGCATTTGAAAAAGAGAACAAAAGGAACTCATACAAAGGTTGTTTTTTTTTGAAGAATTTATTCCTTAGCTTTTGAAAAGAATTATACTGTTTGCTTATCATGTTCCAACTAAGAACAATAAAAAAAAAGCAAACCTTTTTTCTAAAATATAAAAATAAAGGTCAATTTCTGAAAAAAAGATTAAATTAATAGAACTATTTCATCGATGAATGATTTTCGATATATGAATTCTTTAGAAAACGAAGTGTTACAGTCAAATTTACATATTATGTATGATGATGATCTATCAGACAATGTTTTCTATGTCAAGTGTTGTATCATTAAAAATATAGTTTGATAAAAGTAGCTAATATATAATTTGAAAAACTTCTTACTCTTCGTTCTACAAAATCCAATTAGAAGAAGCAAATTGTGTAGAGAAAAGTTTGTTCAATAATTTTATCCAAAAGCTGGATTCTTGTCTATCATCGTATAAAAATAGCGTTAAAATTAGAAAAATCGTTCTTTACAGGTTAGATTTTTCAACCACTTAAAGATGGGTCTACTCTTCGAAAATTATAAAGATGTGGGTGTAGATATGATCTGTGGGTCTGTGGTGTGTGGTGAAAGAACAGAGAAGATCTTCTTCATTATCCTCTCTCTCAGACAGTACACCTTTAGCTATTCATACATTCAAGTTTCGTTTAGTAGAGAACTTCGTTGCTGACGTCTTTTCTGCGGAAATAAGAATAATACATTTCAAAATAACGCATGCTATTAAAGGTCAGTCAAACTTCGATCTTTTGTTATCAATGTTTCGTAAAGAATCAGAAGCTTAAAACATGGTAGATTATATGTAGTTTTTTAAAAGAAAAAACCTATTGCTTCATCTGTAATGACAACAGTGAAAATGCATGATAAAAAAAAATGAACAATTACTTCATGAGAAATCTATCTCATTTGAGAATTACAGGATCAAAAACATGAAAATGCTTTCGAAATTTCGTAGCTTTATCAATTGGTACCTATGAACAAAGGATGATGTCGAAAATAATATCCGTGAAGATAGTCCTTGGTCGTAGATAAGTTTGTATGAAAGTCTTCATCATTGAAATCGAATTTCTAGGAAAATTAGTTGTGCAACTTTTGGACTAAGATATTTTCTACATAACAACATTATAGTTATTCTCTTATGTAGCTAAAAGAAAATTCCTAAGCTTTCGTTTCGTATCTGCCATATATATTAGGTTTTCAAAAGAAGCATTCTTCATCAAAGAAAATATTCGAAGTACAACTACTTTGAAGAGTTTCCTGTTTAGATATTCAATCCTAATCCATAGTGCATTATGAAAAAAACCATATTTACATATCATTGATTCTGGTACCACCATAACATGTCGAATCTCATAAATCCTTAATCTGCTGGTTGAATTTTTTTTTTATAATATATTCACTTACCAATGATCTAGCTTTAGGAAGCAACTTGTCAAAAACGTTGAAAGATCTATTGGTCTTAAATATTGAGGAAGAAGTAAACCAATTAATGAGGTTTTACTTAATAGAACGTGGGAAGCGCGTGGCTGTGAGGATATATGAGAGTGAACAGACGATACTCAACCTCATCCACATCCACACTTATATCCTAACTACATTCCAATGAGTGGTTTACTTCCTATTTCAATTAGTCACGTATCATGTTTCACATTCTGAATAGTCAACAGTAAAGCCAATCGATCGAAAATATAATGTCTGCGCTAATTTTGAGAGTACAAATGGACAACTGCAAGCCAAATTTGGAGTCGATCATTATAAAATAAGGATGAAGTTGTAGCGCATATTTGTAATTGACCTTCAGTTTACAGTAATTTGGATTCATTCTTTAAAAAAACCTTGTAGTTGAATTAGAGTTACAACAGAACATGGTTCATATTGCCCATCTCTATTTAAGAGCGATAATTGATCAGTGCTGACATGAAACCCGAGCGAAAGTTTAGCATATTTTTCATTAAAATAAAAAAAACCCTGATTCTATTCATTCTTTATTCTTTATCGACTTTGAATCCTTTTGTGATGGATTTTTCTATATTTTCAATGTTGTATTGTACATTTCTCCTGAGAAATCACATAGGGTCTATTGAGAAAAGCATTGAATTGTGAGGAAACATGTTATACATTGGTTTGTGTGACTTACATCAGGCTATTCATATTTTTAGTTCACATTCTATTTTTCGCTAATCTATAAGACTTTCATTTCGTCTCACCAGAAATGTTTAAATCATTCTTATGAAGAAAATCTAATCTACAACAACTTCTATTACGCAAAATTGTTTAACTATTCATCATTCATATATTCCATAGGACACTTGATACATGATTCATACAGTCGAAAATCAGTTTCCATCATCTGTTGAACAAGTCATTTTTACATAGTATGCAGTTTAATCAGCTTGTCGCTAAATATTCTTGTGTTCTTCTTTTTAGTATGGCTTCCAGTGTACAAATTTTTTGTTGCAATGCTTGTTCTTCATTTAATTCTACTTTTTTTTCTAGTAATCACGCTCTAATTAGATGCGAAGCAATGCATTCTTGTTCTCTCTCTCGTGTTACTTAAGGCAGTACGAAAAAAGGCACTGATTTCCGTCGCGTGCATTGATGAATGTAACTCGAAGCTTTGCATTTACACAAACGTTGAGAATTTCTCTTTCTCGGATATATACCCAGAGTTTGTGCTTTTTTTCTGATGATTCAGAAATCGATTGTCTTGTGATACACATTCGAATGCGACCGGAAGTTTCCAAAGAGAAGAAGAATGTACACGTTCAGGTAAAACAATGAACTGTCGACTTTGTTCGGCTAATGGTCACCCAGTGTGATCGAATTTGAGCACTGAGGCTTTCAAATATAGCAAAACCAATCATTCTCATTAAACTTTTGTATATTGGTTTTCATATATTCTACATCGATCTATAGAGTTTCTTGTTAATAATTCTGGAGAAAAATGTTAGTCATGTCCTAAAATTCAGCTCTTGTGTGCACCATCGTTTAAAAAAGGTTGCCATGTCCTTCATCATATCTAGAACAGTGATTCGTTTCGAACAAAAATAGAGCCATTACTAGCATCAAAAATAATAGTAACAGTTTGAAATATCAATTAACATCATTGCTCTAATTTCCTCAATCCATATATATATATCTAATCTAAAACTTCAGTTTAATCTTAGTATCTGTATTTTATCTAAGGTTTTATTGGTAACTCATTTGTTTTTCAATGTATCAGTATTTTATTTTTACCGAAAGATAATTCTGACTCTCAGCTATAGAACTTTTTCTCGTATGATTCATTAATATAGAATAGTTCGTAGTATTTATTCATTTTCTCACGTCTATCAAGAAAATAGAGCTTTTTTGATCTGTGCACTACTGATCACTATTATGCTCATAAAACTCAAATAGGTATATGGTTCGAGTCGAAACACCTGCCTAATTATTGTTGAATCTGTTTTACTAGTATGTTTACTAAAACTTAAAAGTTTTCTCCTCATTCCATTCCGTAGATTATTTATCAGCAAGAAGTTTTAATGTCTACGATTCTATGGATAGGACTAAAAGTGATGTTTTCGTTGATTGTCCTATATAGAAGACCATAGCAATGACTGATTTGTTTCACTTTTACAGCTTATAGTGAATTATCAGTGAAAAGGAAATCCAAGACGATATTGGTTAGAAACTTAATAAATTCATTCTAGTCTTTTTTCTCATCGATTAGAACATTCACGTGAGTTCTCAATGAATTTGTTGTTCCATTCTATTTCACTGCTACATAATGCTTTATTGTTCACCTTAGCATTGAGAATTTTTCTTTTCCTTACTTTCTTTCCTCGTATTCTTTCTTTGTCAATCAAACAGGTCAAAATGGAACCGAAGGATATAAATAATTGCACTACAATAAAAGTAATTAAAGTACAACTTTTCCTATACTTTTTAAAGCAATGTTAGCGTTTTTTTGATTCAGAATCAACTGTAACTTGACTACATATTTCATTGTCATATTTCGCATGGTTTATTTTCTTTAAAATATGTATGAAAACGATTCATCGATCGAATTATAGTATTTTATAATGAACAAGACAGTTTTGAATTACAACAAAAGAGTTATTCTCAGATAGATCAACATAACATCAGATTCAGAAAGATTTTATCCGATACGGTTTAGATAATGAGTGGAATCGAGATACGTCAATTTTGTCTTCATCGGCTGTGATTCAAGTATATGCAAGTTACTTGTTTATTGCACAATGGTAGTAGCTTCTTCAACAGAAATACTTCGTTTAGTTTCAAATTCTTATACTTCCGTGACACACTTCGCTATTAGTTTTATTGTTGATTACATATAATCACTCGAGCATAAGCCTCTTCACATAACAGAATAATATGTCATTATAAATTGTTTCGATATATTCCTCAGCTTACTATGATCTGCTATTGAGGAACTCATTTTTGAATAGCTCTCAAGAAACAGGAACAGGGGAGGGATAGCGCATACTTTTAAATTGATTGAAAGTTAAAAAAATACGGACAAAATCCTTCACCGTCGTCCTTACTGAATTAAAATATCATTGATATTCGTTCGTGTTTATCATATACTGTGGCAAACTCTAGAAGAGAAATACCTACCGTTGTCTATAATGCAATCTAGCTAATGGATTCATCAATAGATCGTATTGATGGTTTTTCGACCTCGAAAACGACATAAGACATTTTTTTAAATATCTGTCACGTTTGTGTGTGTGTGTGTGTGTGTGCTGTAGGTTAAGGCTCCTTTTTTCTCGGTATACACTTCTAATGTCGCGTTTTATGGAGATGACTTACTCAATATTGATCACAATCGACGACAGACCCAAACAGCATGTCTGTCATGAGATACTTCATCAAGGGGGAAAAAAGATTACTCTCCTCCGTATATACTTGAAGAATGACTAACAAGCGTGTTTCGCGAAATCACTGGAAGTTATTTGATAATGATCAGGCTATTTTCGGTCGGTCGGAACCGACTGGTTCCATTAATTCCCTGGCAACAGAATTCCATCATGACTTTTTTCGGACAAATTCTGACGATTTATGACTAAGTTTTGAGCGACACTTCTAGAGCTGACCGAAGTTCGTTCGGTAACAATCGTGTCGAGATCTAGTTACAAGAAACCCTTGGAAATTTCAGAAAAACTGCACGAATCTAAATAGAACTTGCTGGTTCCTACGGTCTTAACACTGAAACTAAACCATCGAAAAATCATTTTCAATGGCTTGAAAAGCAGCAAACTTATAGAGTTTTATTCGTAAAAATGAATCCCTAGTAGCAAACCGAAAGTAGGTGAGTGGCTATGATTTGTGAGTTTAGGTAGTTGCTTTTGACTTTCAAGATATTTTATACAATTTTTAATGATTATTTTTATCGCTCAAACAAACCACTCGACATCCCTTGAAATTATATAATATCAGATAAATTTATGAATAGCCGTTTCGTTCATGTCAAAACTTATGTTTGATATTTCAGTACTTAATTAAGCCTTTGAAGGTCAGCGTACAGAACTCTGCAGGCTTTTTTATTAGTGTTTCTTAATTTTTGAATAATTCTGGAACACAAGAAAGATATTAAGACGCAACGATGTAATTTTGTCATCTTGTTTCAAGTATGCAGGAAGTGAAAAAGATGCAAAATAAATGAAATGACTTCGGGTTTGAGTGAGTGTGAAGTCTTTTTAGTAATATTTAACTTATGGATATTTTTTCCCTATATATTAATTATTATACTTTTACATGATTATGAGAGATATTAACCATATAAGATGTGGAAGAATGAACAACCCTTGGTTTCTCACTCTTATCTCGCGATATATGTTTCAATAGTGTAGTCTTCATTTTCAATGAATTACTCGAATCATATATTAGTTAATCCTCATACTTTGTGTAAATAATTGAAAGACATTTTTAAACTGTTGTGCAATTTTGAAGTGAAAATAATATTCCTCAATTAAGTTTTGAATTTTTTGGAAGAGAATCTCAAAGTCTTCACAAGTGACAGTCGATCGTAAAATAACTACATTTCAGAAGCTATTAAGAGCTAATACTTCAACTTCGTATTGGAGACAGAGGTGAGCCAGAGTTGTATTTTAGTAAAAAGAAAAAATTTTCATCTCTCTTGATTCAGGAGTTACTAGCATTTTATGGTAAAAGAAATGAAACGTTTGTATCTCACGAACAAGTCAGAAAATGATGCATAAACTTCTTGAATGATCATTTTCGCCTGCTAACAATGATCATACATATTTCGAAGTCATTAGCTATCATGGTCGAGCAATGATACTCAAAACGTTCATATTGCATAGGAAGCATTTCGAAAATACTTTACTTTTAAGGAACGGATGTTCCCAGCTCAGACATGAATTTATATGCGTTGTATTGAGGATCAAAGTACGCTACTTGAACAATAGGGATTCCGCTAATTGTGTTTCAATTGTCAAACTTGGAGTTTTGTCTAGTTCGTTTCAGAAACAAATCATTATGACAAAGGAAAACATAGTCGAAGCCAAGAACCATTGACAGATGGACAAATGAAAAAAAACTTTATGACAGCAATTGAATTCGTGGCATCTTTACCAATGTCGCAACAAAATAATACAGCGAAAGATAATGATCAAGATCAAGATCAAGATCCAATAACTAAGATGAGAGATCAACTGATCGTACGTAAAAAATTACATTATCATTGTCGTCAAATAAATGATATAATGTGTTTGATTGCTGTGTTCGGTTTGGTACTGATGATCATCGATACTGAACTACGGCTTAATCAAGTAACAGCAACTAGCATCGTCCTGATTCGGCCTTTAATAGGTATCTCAACAGGAATACTAGTCGGACTTATATTTTATTATCATTCAATCAATATACGACTATATGCTATTAACAACCACATTGCCGATTGGCGTGTTACAATAACAATTCCATTAATTGTCTTCATCTTGGGTGAAGTTCTTGTATGTGCTATCCATCCATTTCCGTATAATAACAAGCCAACGTCAATGTCTTCATTGTTAAATGATTCTGGTTGGATTCAAATGTTTCTTACATTGCCAAGTAAGCGAAAAAAAATCATTATCATATATTATCATCATCACATTGTTCTCTTGATTAATAGTGTTTGCTCGTCTCTATCTAATTGCACGTAGTGTAACATTACATTCACCACTGGTGAGTGCAGCGTCATCGCGAACTATTGGCTATCTCAATCGAGTTCCAATAACCATTTCATTTATCCTGCGAGCTTTGTTACAAACTTATCCGGCTCTCAGTTGGACATGTGTCATGGTAGTAACGCTGCTTGTCGCTACTTGGTCATTACGTGTATGCGAAAAAGCAATGTGGTGGCCGATAAATCCGTTATTAGCACGATCAACCGAATCTACATCGACATTCAGTAGTGCAATATGGCTCACAATTGTGACATTTACTACTGTCGGTCAGTATTTTTACTGCTACTATCGGTGACGAACAACTATATATTATGAGAATTTTTACTCTTTTAGGATACGGTGATGTTACACCTTTAACTTATTGTGGCCAAGGTAAGACCAGACAAATTATATGATCTTTGAATAGATTAGTAGAAACTCTTGATGTTCAAAACATATAATATTGCACTTTGATTTCGATAGAATTTGTGCAATTTCGTCAGAATAGATCGAATTATGTGTTTAATCAACGGCCCCATACTCCATAATGTAAGGGCATGTTTTTATATATGCATATGCGCAATTTGAATATCATTAAGTTTTCGATCATCTCTCCATAGGACATCGTGTTATGATCAGTTTTATTTATGAATATTTCAATATTCCAATAAGTATAGGATGCTGACCTTAGTACATCAGACTACTTGAAAACTTTTTAAAAAATGTTCAAGAATTATTTTGTAGCAATGCAATATGGAAAATTTATGGAGAAATGCGTGTAAGTCTTGAAAGATGCATTTTTGGTGTTCGGACTTTTCATCACAGGATAGATTGTCACGTGGATAAATTCTTGCGAACAAAATGTTGCAAGATTTCATTGTACAATAAATTTGTGCATCCGTAATTAATCTTGTAGAAAGTAATGACAGAGAGTGAAAAAGAATGCTGAGAAAATACTGTAGTTAATAAAAAAAATAATTCTGAATTGAAAAAGGATTCACACATTTGCAAAATCCATAAAGATTCTCTACTATTTTCACAAATCAATGATGCTAGTGTTCGATTTCAGTGAACTTCGCGCAGAAACCGATAAGAAGATCCTGACAAATGGTGGAACTGTAAGCTGCTATACAATGCTCGTATAGTCCATCGGTTACGTTCGTTCTGGTCGATTCTTCCAGAAAACAAAAAAAGCCGATCATTGAATCAGAACATCGTATTCCTAGTTCCAAGTTCCGACTATTTTTACAATTTTTCCAGCTGGGACCAGCCGTGCACTTTTGTCTAGGTTCAGTGAAAGAGTCTTATGTATGAAAATACTTCGGATCCTCTTGACGCAATATAAGTTTTGAGTGATATTGCAAATGTTCCACTCATCTTTTAGAGTCTTTTCTTTTGCTAACATAATCTAAGAGAAGTTTCAGCAAGATTTTTTCGGATGTATCTGTAGAAAGACTTTTGTGAATTTTATAAGTGTGTCAATCGTGTTTCAATTCCGAATTCAATTTTTTTGTAAAACTTCAATATTTCTTCACTATTTTTTGTTCACACTCACCGTCATTTCTTTCTACGAAACCAATTAGAATTACGCAAATATGTTGTATAATGAAATCTTGCAACATCTTATCTGCAACAATTTGTCCTTCAATAAAAAGTCCACTGATCACATTTTGTAGACTTTTACTATTATTATTCAAACTTCAAATTGGATAAACCAATACAAAGTTGATTTATAGAGATCAAAATTAATCAAGAAAAAGCATCCTTTGTATGTTCTCTTAGACAAGAAGATAAAGATTCCATAGATTAAATTTATATTGTTTTCTCGTACTAACGAAAGGAGTAGGACGAAAATATAATTCAATTCATTTTCTGACAACTTTCTTGTCATACGGTCATAAGGTAGAAATGTTGTATAAGAAATGTTGATTACATCCTTATTAATCAAGTTACACTTCCACTTTGTTCGCTCAAAGTTGATCGAATCCACTAGTTTACATAGGTCGTGTAAAAACCGATCAATTAAATTTTTAACATAGCAATACGGGTATTATTGAGGATTGCAGAGCTAAAGAGATGGAAAAATACAGCTGTCAAGACAGAAAGTCGACTTGGGATCGGGGCAAAAGTAAGTCGGATTTACTGGTTTCTCTTCGTAACAGTCGTTTTTAGACTAGAATCGGTTCATTTTCGTTCCCAAATAGAAACCTTGTAATAGACAATTGAACTCGGAAAGCTAGTATTTTATGTTTGGACAGAACAAACTATATCAAAGTAACGCTATTTCTATGCCAATGAAACTAAAAATAGTAAAGAAGACACTGTACTTATATTGATGATAATTAAAACAATAAATATTGATAAAAACTCTGACTAGAGCGCCTCATAGTTGTTCTGATTTCCATATTATCCATCAAAAATTGTTGGTGTTACTTAATTGAGAACTTTCAGCTTTTAGTGTGTTTGTTCGACGATCATTACCTTGACTACTATTATGCGCACATTTAATATAAATTATTTTTATCTTAAATAGATACATTTTTTTCCTATTTGGCTTTCCTTTCAGCTGAAAATATTTGATCCGAGAGATCACACACAAAGCTATAAAATCTTAATGAGATGACCAGAATTATTGTAGAAGTCTAAAGGTCCCAAGTTGTTGCTGTTTATTCGGTAGTCCTATAGTATAAATTTCGAAACGTGCGAAAAAACATGAAACATTTGAAATCTAGAAAATATTTCTCTAGGTGTCTCTACCATTACTGCTTTTTTTGGTGTGTTTGCTGCGGCCGTTCTGATTGCCGTGTTTACAAGCAAGATCTCCTTAAATCGATCTGAACAATACGTTCTTGATTTTATCCTTCGAATCAATCGAGCTCGAGCACATAGGGAAAAGACATTGCGAATCATTCAATATTCTTTCCGAGCATGGTTTCTCAAACGAAATGGTCATCATTTTCGAGCAACATATAATTCACTTTATCGCTTACATTCCGCTCTTCGACAAGCACGTTTCATCAAACAAGAAGAACGAAATGCAGTAAATGGTAATGAATCGTTAATAACAATACTCACTGATGTAAATGAAGAACAGAAAACCAATGGCATATCGCTTACAAAACTCAAAACTCAAATTGGACACCTTGAAGAGAAGATAAATACACTAGAAAGTAAATTGGACACTGTAGTAAACATGTTATCTAACAATAATCCCAAAATACAGCACAGTTTATTGTGAAAAATAATCCACAATGATATACACTTTTGTCCTATGTTCTCAAATAAATTTAGAAGATTGATCGTTTCTTTCTGATTCGATTAATAAACTAACTTTTTATTCAAGTCAGAAATGCTCAAATTGAAAGAATGGGTATGAATCTGAGTATCTTTGTGTTATGTATGAGTATTGTGGGGATGAGAGTGAAGTTGTGGTGAAAGAGAAGATCCCTCTGCTCAATCTCCACACATCAATCCATCATTCTATGAAAAACGATCTCGGTTTCTCTTCATGCTACTTTCGCCAAATGTAATTTTCAAGCAGCAAAATACCAATTTTACTCAAAAATGTTTTAAAGATATCTTTTCCAAACTGTCTGTAATTTACATGATTTTAAATAGACACTAGTAAACGATCATAGAATTATTACCATCTTAGATTAGCATTGCAAACAGTCTATAGACTGAATCAATATGCATCGAGAGCCGCTATTGTCTTCAAAAAAAGACTATTTCAGATCACTTTTCAGAAATATCGAGATGCCAGGTATCAGTCCACGAAAAGTCGTCAATTTCAATTATAAAGTAAATTGGTTGAAAGCTTTTGTTAGCAAAACAACTACAGAATAGCTTGTATTTAATCGAGATCTACCGATTTCTATGAAAAACGGCACTAAAAGGTTCTTATTTTCGATCAAAACTTTGTAATTACGTGATTTTTAAGTTTGAAACAGTTGTCCTACGAGAAAGAAACATTAAGGTGTTTTTTAAGCAACAGCTCCAGATAAGTTCATGTTCAATCATGAATAGTCCATTACTATGCAAAAAAGATCTTGTCAGATGTAGTAGTTTTCTAATGAGACTGCTGCTGGATAGGACCTAGAGTTCGCTTGTGAGGTTCTTTGATTTTGGTATACGAGTATGGTAAACTGCTTTGATTACTTCGGCAATGAGAATGTCTGTAAGAAAACAGTTACAGTATGGTGATTATCTGCTCTGGAATACTGCTGCTATATTTTATTAAATTTAACGACAGCTTTAAGCCGAAATGACATAGATAATGGACGAAAAGAGACGGGAATAGTGGCGTTTACAACGAGTTCTCATCATCTGCAGACATATTTCGGAAACAATAGCTCAGGAAAGAATGCCAGACTAAAACAAATTAAGGTCTACATTAATATAAAATAAAACTCCTTCATATTATTCTATCAATACTTTCCTGTTCCATGTAAATTACCGTTATTATTATTCGAATTCGTCATATTATACTAGCAAATACTTTTTATTTGTTCGAAAATGTCAAGAGTTTCATAGAATTTTATCTGATTTGCGAGAAGATCTGTATGTAGAGTACATATAACAATTTCAAACTTACTTGACGATAATCTATGAATTAAATCGAAATAATCGTCATTAGTAGATTAGAATTCTCTTCTTTCAACTCAAATCCTCAACAAAACACAATATGTGTAATCAAAACATGAAATTTTATTGAGTGATGTATAACACACAACATTTCCTCGAAAAATTTGAGTACAATGCTGGTCAGCATATGTTTTTCATCGGAAATTTTTTTTGAAACCTGTCATTAGAAAAAATATGCAGTGTGCTTCATTCTTACCTTTATTTTAATCGCTGAAATCAACTTGCTTGACCAGGGCTCCCCATGAATACTGTCATCGCTGTCTTCGAAAATGAAGCAAACATAGGAAAACAAAGGAATATATATATATATATATATATATATGAGACTTTCGAAATTATGGAGGTATCATTATCTTATTGGTTTGATGACGCCTTTCTATATACTGTAGCACAAAGCCTTGTTTCTAATTTTTCTTGGTATCTCTCATGAAGTGAATCAATAGATACAGTGACAAAAGTTTTGATTATTTTCCAGGTTCTTTCTAAACTATGGAAAAACTAGGAGAGCTATTATATTGTTGGTGACAAATATGAAATGCAGAAATGGTTCCAGGCCACCAAGTGATCTGCTACTGATCATTCAATTCGAAAGAGGTGTGAGAGCAGCAAAAGAATACTATACTTGAATATCTAGTGAAAAATACTTTTTCTACGGTTTGATGCAAAGGACCTGTTGTTTTTGGCCTTTTTTTAATGACATGTAACACTAGTTATAGAAAATTGGAAAAATGTCAAGCAGAAAGTGTGAATTCATTTATTGAGATTGAAATCA